ATTAAATTATCTATGTGTCTTGATGATTGATCACCATTAGGATGCTTAGAAAAGTTATCGGATGCAATTTTGAACGAATGTCACGTTAAAATTGGTTGTGCTTCTTGTGATTGAGAATTATACTCTCCTAAGGTAAATATCATGCTCTTAGGGATTATATGGTTTAACAAAAGGATTTTCACCAAGATTAATGAATCACTCATGTTTATATTTAATCCAAATGTCATGGATAAGTTGCATGTAGTGGTATGCGTTTTAGCTTGAATGTCACAAGTAAAATATACACAAGGAAAATCCAACCTTCAAAGCATATGTGTTTTCAATTATTTAAGCAATTGGAATAGCCACGTAGGATTGTTGTTGGTAAAGGTTGAACTCTAGCATATTGTCAATTTATTTTTCTTAAATCATTTATTTTATCTTGAATTTCCTTATTTACTTGTTTTGTTTAAGTTGAATCATTATTCCCTCCCATTTTAGATATTTGTTTAAGTCACATCCAATAATATTTAGTTTCGTTAAATTAGTGTAATTCTTAGAGTAAAATAAGTTAAATACACAAAAACTCGTAAATTGTTTATATCAGTCCCTGAGGAGATCGACCTTGCTTGAGCCATTCTATACTACAAACACTTGTTCTCTTGCAAGAATTTTCTATGGTTTAACCCTTTGTTTTACAAGTGGTAAAATCGCTATCATACTTCTTCGGGAATCCGGTGGTTTGTTACATTTGTTGATGATTGCACTCGTATGACATGGCTTTATGTGTTGAAAAATAAGAGTGATGTTAGTGACATATTTCGGTCATTTGCTCAGTTGGTTCAGACACAATATTCTTCTGTTATCAAGGTTCTCCGTTCTGATAATGGAGGAGAATACATCAATTCTGAGTTGTCGGGTTTTCTACGTGATCAAGGGATCCTCCATGAAACCACGTGTCCGCATACTCCGCAACAAAATGGGGTTGCAGAGCGTAAGAATCGCCACATTTTGGAAACAGCCCGGGCCTTGCTCCTTGGGGCCTCTGTTCCTCCACGTTTTTGGCCTGAAGCAGTTACCTATGCCGTGTATGTTATTAATCGTATGCCTTCTCGGGTGGTTAGTTTTCAAACGCCTTTTCAAGTCCTCACACACCATGCTCCCGTGGTGTCCCGTAATACTCTCACCCCTCGAGTCTTTGGTTGTGTGGCTTATGTTCATATTCAGAAAATACATCGTAGTAAATTGGATCCGTGTGCATTACGGTGTGTCTTTCTGGGTTTTTCTTCTCACCAAAAGGGGTATCAGTGTTACCATCCTGAAACCCGACATATGTATGTAACCATGGATGTGACCTTCTCTGAATCAGAATATTTCTACACTTCGGTACCTTCTACATCAGATCACCAGGGGGGAATAATATTGGTAATCTGAGTTGGTTGGATCTAGGGGGAGATGTGATTATTGAACATCGTGTAGGACCGGGAATTGTTGGTGTCGAATGTACAGAGAGTACCGAGTGTGTTGACAACTCAGATGATGGTGGTGATTTGACCGAACCCATCAGAGAACCTCGGCTAGAGGCTCGGCTAGCTAGTGCCGAGGAATGTCCTAGTGCTCAACAGTTCATTGCCGAAGCCACTACACTTGTTCTTGCTGAGTCCAGTACGCCCTCTCTCTCTGGTTCCAACGTGACGCCCAATACGTCTTCTCTGAATATTCCTGAGGTAAGTATTGTAAATGATTATGTAGCTGATCCAAGTAATAATGTAAGTACTTATAAATTGCCACCGAGACAAAATCGAGGTGTGCCTTCTGATAGGTTTTCTCCTGAAGGGAAGGTGAAGTATCCGATAGCCAATTATGTATCATGTAACAAGCTTGCACCAGAACATCAGACCTTGGTGAGCAATATGGAGTCTATTCAAGTACCAACTCGAGTGGAGGAAGCTCTAAAAGATCCAAACTGGGCGAAAGCAATGGATGAGGAGATGTTGGCATTACAGAAAAATAATACTTGGGAGGTGATGATGCTACCCGTAGGAAAGAAGACCGTGGGATGCCGATGGGTATTTACAGTTAAATATAAGGTTGATGGAACGGTCGACAGATACAAAGCAAGGTTGGTGGCTAAAGGGTATACTCAAACATATGGGGTGGATTATCAAGAGACTTTCTCCCTGGTTGCCAAGATGAATACGGTACGTGTTCTTATCTCTTTAGCTGCAAATATGGACTGGCCATTAAAACAGTTTGATGTGAAGAATGCATTTCTCCATGGGAATTTGGAGGAAGAAGTATATATGGATTTTCCTCCTGGATATAGCAATGGTGGGAATACTGGAGTATGTCGTTTGCGTAAGTCACTTTATGGGCTTAAGCAATCGCCTCGTGCATGGTTTGATAGATTTACTCAAGTGATGAGAAGGAATGGATATCGTCAGAGTCATTCTGATCATACGTTATTTGTAAAACGTAAACAAAATAAAGTAACAGCCTTGATTATCTATGTAGATGACATGATTATAACAGGAGATGATGTTGATGAGATGTCCAAGTTGCAAGGAAACCTTGCAGCCGAATTTGAAATGAAGGATTTAGGAGATTTGAAATATTTTCTGGGAGTTGAAGTTGCTCGCTCATCTAAAGGTATCTTCTTGTCTCAACGTAAGTATGTGATGGATTTATTAAAAGAGACTGGTATGTTGGGATGTAAGCCAGTAGAGACTCCTATTGTTGAGAAGCATCATTTGGATTTGAATCCAAGTCAGAAATCGGTTGACAAAGGGAGATATCAGAGGCTTGTAGGGAGACTTATTTATTTGGCTCATACTCGTCCTGATATTGCTTATGCTGTGAGTGTTGTGAGTCAGTTCATGCATTCACCAAATGTGGATCACATGGCTGCTGTTATGCGTATCTTGGCATACTTGAAGTCGGCACCTGGAAAATGAGTATTGTATGGGAAACACGGGCATTTGAGAATTGAAGGGTTTACTGATGCAGATTGGGCAGGTGATGTAACTGATAGACGGTCTACTTCTGGGTATTTTACTTTTGTTGGAGGAAATTTGGTGACATGGCGAAGTAAGAAACAGAAGGTGGTATCACGATCTTCAGCTGAGGCCGAATATAGAGGAATGGCTCAAGGGATTTGTGAAATCCTTTGGCTACGAAAACTTCTTTTAGGACTTGGGTTTAAACTAGAGGAGACTATGAAGTTGTATTGTGACAACAAGTCCGCAAGAGATATCGCTGATAACCCGGTGCAGCATGATAGAACGAAGCATGTGGAGGTGGATCGACATTTTATTAAAGAGAAGCTTGAAAAGAAGATTGTATCAATACCGTTTGTAAAGTCAGAGGAGCAACTTGCAGATGTTCTTACTCATGCAGTGTGTGGACGAAAGTTTGGTGACTCACTTGTCAAGTTGGGCATGTGTGATATCTATGCACCAACTTGAGGGGGAGTGTAAACGTGAGTCTTCAAAAATAAGTATGTAAATATATTGTAAATATTAGGAATCCTTTTTTAGGAAGGATTATTTGTTGTGTCCTTTTTAATTTTAGTTTCCTTATAGAACAAGGATTGTATTTGTATATATTTCAAGGAAGTAATACAAGGAATTTATCCCGTAAAAATTCTATTGGGTCTAGAAGGACAAATTCTGGTCGAATTGGGGCTGGTGGCGTTCTAAGAGATCATAATGGCAACTGGTTAGGTGGCTTTGCTGTGAATTTGGGACAAGGGCAGGTTTGTGATGCTGAATTATGGAGTTTATACTTTGGTTTACAGCTTGCTATTGATAAGGGTGCTACTGAGCTTCATATTGAGATGGATTCCAAGGCTGTTATTATGTTGTTGAAGCAATCCCAAGTTGATAATTTCCATCCTTTGGAGACAATTATGCATAGCTGCAGATTAATGATGAGACAATTGAGGAGGTGTGAATTGAATCACGTTTATAGAGAGAAGAATATTGTGGCGGATCAGTTGGCTAATTGGAGTTATAACATGGATATTGGTGTTCTTGTTTTTGATGAGCCTCCTGTGTGGATTAGATCAGCTCTCATTGATGATGCTGCTGGAGTCCCTCGGACTCGGTTTGCTGTTGGTTTGTAGTTCTTTTTGGGTTGTGTTCCCCGTTCTTCACCAAAAAAAAAAAAAAAAAAGTGTTGACCGAGTGAAATTGGGAATCTAGTTCACTTAAGGTTTTTGAGTCTGAAGAACACACAAATTATAGAGTTTCCATCATCTGCAGCAAATTTGGTATGCCTGCGGACTCTAATTTACACTGTCTATGGACGTCGATGAGAACCTTAGGTGTGTTCGGAAAGATGGAACAACTGAGACATATATATTTACCCTGACGTTATAGAGCAAGTAAGAAATTTGTCGTTGGCTACTCTAGGCAGTTTGCAGACGTTAGTCAATGTTTCAAGTAGCTACTGTGATCTAAATGATATGGTTAAACTAACCAATCTTAGAAAATTGGTGTTGAAGGTGAATCTAACAAGAAACTGGGATAGAATAAGCTTCACATTTAACCATCTCCAGTCGTAGACTCTGGAGAATAAGTTATACCATGGAACATAGCATATATTAAGTTGTCTTGAGATATACAAGCTACGAATAAAGGGAAAATTGAGAGCTACCAGAAGGGATTCTGTGCTTTCCAAACCTTACCAAGCTAACACTGTCCGGAATACTAGAGAAGCTGCCAAGCTTAAGAATACTTTTCCTTAATAATCACGTTACTTCCACGGCTTTTCCAGGACCACACGTTTTCTCCAGTGGAGGTTTTCCTCATCTTGAGCATCTTTCCCTCGGTTGTTTCCTTGCGTTAATGGAGTGGAGGGTGGAAAAAGGAGCCTTGCCCTAATCAAAATGTAAATTATACCCTTATGCATATGCACTCTTTCAAATGTAAAATATTCCTTTTATGCATATGGACTCTTCCAAATGTAAATCATTCCTTTATGCATATGCACTCTTCCAAATGTTTAAGCCAACTGATTCGCTAGACAATTGAATAAATAGCATGTGAAGGAGGAGAAAAACAGAAAAGACTTCTCCAGTTAACCACTTTAATCAAGCAGAAAAACAGAAGTCGAAAAAGAAAGCTTGTTTAATTTTTTTTTCTTTTTGGTGGAAATCAGAAATATGGCTGAGGCGGTAGTTTCAATGGTAATTGAAGGGCTCAAAGGCGGTCTCATTGAGGAGGTGAAGTTCTTGAGCGGAGTTGGCGATCAAATTAAGCATGCACAAATTGAGCTACTTTTGATGCAGGGCTTCCTGAAAGATGCAGATACAAGACAAGAAGACAATGAAGTACGCATTTGGGTTCAAATTATAAGAGATGCTGCTTATGATTTGGAGGATGTCATTGAATCTTTTGCTTTGAAAGTGGCTCTCAGAAGGGGAGGAAGCGTGAAGCTTGTTCTGAAAAGGTTTGCTTGCATCTTTAACGAAGTCTATAATCGTCACAAGTTCGGTTCAGAAATTGAGAGCATTACCACCAAACTTTCCAAATTGAGGTTGAGTTTGCAAGGTTATGACATCAAGCAAATAAGGGGCACACAATATGGAGGTGCCACTTCTTTTGAGAGGCAAAAGGAACAAAGGGAAACTTATCCTCATGTTATTGAACGTGATGTTGTCGGGTTAGAGAAGGACATAGAGATACTAGTCACGCAATTGGTGAAAGAAGAAAAAGGCCCCAAACTTGTATCTATTTGGGGGATGGGCGGTTCAGGAAAGACCACTCTTGCAAAACAAGTTTATGGTCACAATGAAGATGTTAAGCGTCACTTCGATTGTTTTGCTTGGGTGTGTGTGTCACAACAATGTCAAGGAAAAGAGGTTTTGGAAGATATTTTGGTCCAGCTTACTCGCGACACCAAAGATAAAACTAAAGAAATGAATAAGAATCAAATGGTAGAGAAGCTTTGTAGCATCCAAAAAGAAAAGAAATGTTTGGTGGTTCTTGATGACGTTTGGACTCGTGATGCGTGGAACTCTTTGAAAAATGGATTTCCAATCGGTGCGGAAACAAAGAGTCGTATATTACTCACCACTCGGAAGAAGGACGTTGCTGAAATTGCTGGAGAAAATGGTTTCGTTCATGTATCTCATGCGCTAGATGATGAGGGATGCTTGGAACTGTTTAAGAAGATAGCAATCTTTGGGAGAGATCAAACAAGTATGTTTCTCACTTCTCAGTCAACTCTATTATCATTATTTTATTTTTGTTTATTTGTTAAGCCTAATAAAATAGAGATCATTGCATTTCACTTATAATGATTTCGATATAGTACGCACATAATTGTCCCTAATCGTTTAACTTAGGGTGCGTCTGTGTCATGCACCGGACCCGAGTTGCTGGAAAATCCCGAATCTTGAATGCAACCCAAATGTTTTAAAAAAAAAAGAATAATAAGAAACTGAAACGGAGTGAAAAATAAATTCTTCTTATAAAAAGAAACTCAAGAACTCTTTACATGGCTACAAAGAAAGTAAATAAATTAAACTTTTAACCTCACCTCTAATTCACTGTCATCCCATCTACCCTCTTGACTGTCTAATTCGAAAACCTACATATAAAGGGGTGAACTTCAACAACCTAGTAGGGACATAACTTCAATAAATCTTACAATAAGGACCTAGTACGCCTTACAGTAAGGTCCCAGCTGCAGGAACTGTACAACAGAGGTAAAATTCCATATTCATTCTTCCATTTTCATTATAATCACCATTTTAGTCCAAGTTCTACTTCCGTTTTGTCAATCATACTACATAATTCAATCCATCTCACCAAGTTTTCACCAAAATGAGATTCAACAACAAAACAATTCTAGATATTTAAATCAAGCCTAATAGGATCAACTCAACATAAACACTTTAAATCGAACATTAAAGCTGATTTAGTGATAAATTCCCTAATGGCAACATTTTGAAATCTGTAGCAAACTCAGAAATTCCTACCTTAGATTGTAAATTGTAATACTCCTGTCCAGAAATCCGTAAGCGAAAACATAATCAAATTTGGTGAAGTACATAAAAAATTATGATAGAAAATTCGATTTTAGTGTTTCAATGAAAAAAAAAATAGCATTATCTATATGGAACTGTTATTGTCACTTTAAGACTTTACTTCGACAAAGAAGAAAAACAATCAGGTCTTATAATTTAGATCAGGTGTCCAAATGAATAAAACTGGTTTCTCTCTTACTTTGTCTTCTCTTTTGGGAAAGGATTCTCTCCGGACCCAATCCCTTCGGATCCTCCTCCTTCGTCATTTTTTCTTTGGAGTTTTTCTTCTTCTTCCTTGCCTCTTTCAATTCTTCTTCTTCAATAATCCTTATTCTTCAACTATGAGTCTTCTTCTCACTTTTTTTTTTGTTTATTTATTGGAAAACTTCAAACACAAGTTAGCGACGACTACTATGATGTTGCCGATAACTAGCTCTTTGGAGGCTACGACGCCGACTTCGGGAAGCACGACACCGACTCCTGAGAAACCACGATGTCGACTCGGCCTTCAGTGGGTCCGGAGAGGATCCTCTTCCTTCTCTTTTCTTTCAGTCCTTACATGCATGACTGTCTGTCAACACACCACCTTAGCAGCTGTCGCGTGACAAGTCAACCACACCTTAGCTGTCACGTGGCCTTCCAAAATTGTATTAAAAATTCATTGGGTTCTAAAAAATAATTCAAAAATGCCATGAACTTGTAATTTTGTCCACTTTCATCTCATCACTTAAAATTCATCTTTAACCTAAAAAAAACTTACTTATTTTCTCACCTCTTTAAAATTTAAAGCCGACTTGTAAGTGGCTCTTTACCACTGTTGTGGAAAGGTGTTGAGCTCTTAGATGACGGCGTGAGTTCAAACTCTGTCGGTGGCTAATCTAACATCTAATTTAACAAAATCTATCGTTTGGCAAAAAAAAAAATAATAATAATTAAAGCCGACCACCAATCGTCAAATTTGAAGAAACTCCAAAATTCTCCTAAAATTATAACAACACTTTCAAATACATTTTCGAGGTTTCACAATTTGATACACTGATTGGCTTGGATAAATTTTAGGGATTGGCTTGAAAAACATTGATGAGAGGTAAGGTCATTGTCCCAAATCGCTAAGAGAATTGATGAATGTCTAGGGTATTAGTTTGAGACATACTCTAGTTTAAATCGTCCAAGATGGGTGGTAGTATCGGTGCACAGCGCCTGTTTAGGTTTAGCTAAGCAGCTAGATATTTTTACTTAATATTGTTGTTGCTACCAAAAAGTCTAAGCAATGATGTATCTATGGGTGGAGAGGTTACTTCTAACCTTCCATGATGAATGAAAAAACATGCATGTTGTAGAATGCCCTTGTGCCGAGTCTGCCGACCCCTACACCCAAAACTAAAATAAAGAGACTTGTTTGAGAGCAGCAACAGAGCAGGTCGTGAGTTGCTCTCTCCCTTTGTATTTCCACATTTTCAGTTTTCTACTCTTCTTCCTTGTTATCAATCAAAACTCTAATTACTTTACTTTCGTTAACTATTAAGCCTAATTGATTGAGATTACTGCATTTCATGTAACTATGATTTCTCCCTTCCAAAATTCATTTTCTTGTGACATCAGACACTAATATTTATGTTCTACTGTAAAAATATTCAACAATCCAAAAGGACATTGACAACATACATAGAATATCTTAAGAATGACAAGTCTAGGACATAATAGTTAACCCATTTTTCTTAATTTTTTCACCCTGAAATTGATGCTGAAAAGGAAGAACTAGGAAAGAAGATGCCTCAACATTGTGCAGGTCTGCATTAGCCATTGCTGTGCTTGCAAATGACTAGTCTAGAACATAATAGTTAACCTATTTTTCTTAATTTTTTTTTTTCAGACTCTAAAATTGATGCTGAGAAGGAAGAACTAGGAAAGAAGATGCTCAAACATTGTGCACGTCTGCCATTAGCCATTACTGTGCTTGCGGGACTTCTAGCTAGAAAGGTCACAATTGATGAGTGGAATGCAGTATACGAGAACGTTGATGTGTATATACGGAGAGGAACTAATCTTGACACAGAGTACAAAGGCGATCAAGAATATGCTGGTGCATTAAGGGTGTTGGCATTGAGTTATGACGACTTACCATATTGTCTAAAACTATGTTTTCTATACTTAGGTCACTTTCCGGAGGATTATGAGATACCGGTCAAAAGATTGGCTCAGTTATGGATAGCAGAAGGTTTTATATCTTCGGGTTCCCAACGACATGGTTCAGCGGAGGTATTGGAAGATGTAGCATATGCTTGCTTAATTGAGTTGGTGGAAAGATGTATGGTTCAAGTTGGAATACTTGGTTCAACTAAGAGGATCAAAACATGTCATCTTCATGATCTTATGCGAGACTTGTGCTTGGTAAAGGCAGAAGAGGAGAACTTTCTTCACGTTGTAAATTTTACCAGTACGATAACCAAGACAGCGACAATTCCTAAAGGTCGAAGACTTGGTGTACATGTGGAAACAGAATTTGTTGATAAATTTGCTCCCACAAGAAATGACCACCTTAGGTCTTTGTTATTCTTTGTCGACCCAGAATATAGATTCTCCAACTGGAAGAAAAAATTCTTGCGGTCAGTAGTATGCAACTTCAAATTGCTCAGGGTTCTAAAGCTTGAAGGCATACTGAGTTATGTAGAGTTGCCGAGTAATATTGGGAATCTAGTCCACTTAAGGTTTTTAAGTCTAAGGGAAAGTCATGTAAGACGGTTGCCATCATCTTTAGGTAATTTGGTATGTTTGCAAACTCTAGACTTACGCTTGTATGTTGGGTGGGGGGTGAAAGTACCAAATGTGATTTGGAAGATGAAAGAATTGAGACATTTATATTTACCCGTTTCGGGGTACAGAGGGAAGTTGAAGTTGGCTACTCTTGGGAATTTGCAGAGTTTAGTCAATGTTGCAGGTGCTGATTGTGATTTGACTCATCTTGCTGAATTGACCAATCTCAGAAAAATGTTCATACAAGGTGAGGTGAAAAATATGGAGGAAATGTTGAAATCTACTGGCATCACATTTAACCATCTTCGATCTCTATCTCTTTTCGTGGGGTCTGAAGTTATACCAATGAAAATGGTATTGAGTTGTCCTCATATATACAAACTTGAGTTGGAAGGGAGAATGAGAGATGAATCATTGGAAGGTCTCCAGTACTATCAGAACCTCACTAAGATGTCGATGAGTTGGACTAAACTACAGTTGGAGAGTCTCAAAATACTTGAGAAGATCCCAAACTTAAGAATGCTTTGGCTTAATGCTGGTAGTTTGGACAAGAATGTTTCATCAGAAGTAGTTGTCTCAGAAGAAGGTTATCCTAATCTTGAATTTCTTTCACTTGGTGGGATGGAAGAATTAAAGAGTTGGAGCATAGAGAAAGGAGGCATGCCTAATCTCTGCAGATTGTCTATTATAGAATGCTTGGAATTGAGGGCAGTTCCTGAGGGGCTTCAGCATGTTAGTACCCTCAAGGAACTAACAATCATAGGCATGCGACGGGAATTCTGTAGTAGGGCTGGGGAAGGAGAGGATTTCTACAAAATTAAACATGTGCCTTCTGTTACAATAATGTGAGAAGTGGATAACTGGTAAGCATGCTACTTATATTAATTGTGTTTTGTGTTGTGCGGCTATTTTATCTCAGTTTCTCATGGGTAAATCATAATGTGGAGTGGGGCAGAGGTGGCGGATGCTGCTGCTGGGAAGGGGAAGGCAAGGCCAATCTCGCAAAATCAGGTGAAAATTCTCTTCTTAATGACTTAATAATTGAAGGCAGCTAGCGCATCGATGTGGTAAGTATCATATGCACAGGACAGCAATATGACTGCTTAATTTTGTTTTATACTAGTTAGATCGTGGTAAGGCAAGGATCAAGAAAGGGAAGCAGTGTCCCAACTCGGAAGCTGTAAAAGCCTTGGTGATTAGCAGTTGCATTACATTACACAACTTGTTTTATTAGGATGCTCCATTTAATTCATGTATTAGCATTTGTATCTACCATTCATTAACAAATTCACTGTTGTCAATAGTCTACTAATAATAAGCACAACAGTTTTCAATGGTGTGTACATGTAAAAACGAAAAAACATTTGTCGATAGTCGATGCCACAATAGTTACTAATAACATATGCAACCAAATGCATCAACAGTTGTCCAAGATAATCGTTTTGATAATGGGTGCCATAATAGTTTTCAGTAGTCTAAAATGATGTGCAAAAATACTATTTTCAATTTCGTGCAAAAACAGTTTTCTAAGTTGTAATTCTTACTCAAAACTTTTCGAGTTTGAATAACAAAGTTTTGTGCTTGTGATCATAAGTGTTCATATTATGAAACTTTGTAAAAAATATCCATGCAAAAAATGAAATTTATTGTAGTAAATACTTAGCAATTCGTAATGCTTCTACAAATTTCGTTCATCTGTTTTTTTTATACATTTTGATAACCAAACAACCTTATTTCTAATTGATTTTTTGCAAAAGTAATCTTTATAAAATGATTAATAATATGAACGATTCAGATCACATACACTAAATATTATGAATCGAAAACAAACAGTTTTGAATAAAACTCATCTTTTGAGTAACTAAGTATTGATCTTCTTTATGAAAAAGAGTTGTTGAAATTTCGTGCACAAACAGTTGTTCAAATTTATGGCAAAACAGTTATGTAAATTTCGTCAAAAACCAATTTCAATAGTTTATTAAAATAAATGTTTTATATTTGAAATAGATTTAACGAGGAAAACGAGTTTCATATTCAACCATACCAAGTGCAAAAAAATTAAAAAGTTGTCCTTTGCAACAACACAAAAACCGCGAGTAATGCAAACGACGTGAAAATAGTTATTAGGAATTTGTGCAAAAGCAGTTGTTGGTAGCCAATGCAAAATTAATTTTCGGTAATTTATGCAAAAACAATTTTAAGTAATTTGTTAAAACTAATAAAAAAATTAAGTAGTCCGTGTTAAAACAATTTTTATGCCATGCATATGGAAAGGGAGAAGAAAATAATTTTTATTATGCATAGAAAGAGACTTCGTTAGTTTTCAGATTGCGACAGTCACACTAGGTGTCAAGGACTCATAAGAAATTAGACAAATATCAAATAGGAAAGACAGCAGTGCTGCAGATTCCCTAAAAAAAAAGTAAGATAAAATCATACGAAATCGTGATTGTCCGGAAGGCCGTTATTTGATGACGAGAAGATGGTGTTTAGAGGGAGAGGGAATACCACGAGAGAAAAAGGAGAGAGAGAACACGACAAGAAAGAAAGGAGATAGAGAGAGTAGTGATCTGGGAGCTACAGCAATAAAACCTTTACTGGATACTCCTGAAGCGCTTCATGTAGAAGTGGGAACAGCGAGTCGCAGGAAACTGCATAGAAAACACTGCACAAAAAACATGAGTGTATGAGTGGCAAACGAAGAATTAATAGCAAATGGAAAACCAACATATTAAGGCTTTGTTTTGAATACTGTAACATACACTGTTGCAACACAATAGCCGTATTTTGGGGAAATTTTGACGCTAAAGAAAGGTACAGAACGTTGAAAGAATGGAGCAGAAAAACCTTTTTAAAAGAATTCTAAACAGCATTACATCTGAATGATTTTTTATTTATTTTTCGGCATAATGGACTTCCAATCATATAATTGCAGAATACCAGATCAAATCAGATATTTTGATTATTTACTTGGGGCTTGGGTGTTGCATGCAAAGGTTTGTTCTCTCCTTCCATCAATTACAAAGGTTTGTTCTGTCTAACCTTGAAGTTTTGAAGGTGTATTGAAACCTTTTTATAAAGTTTGATAGTTACCTGAAACATAATAACCCCCACTCAAACAAATCTCTCAAGGAAACCCCCCTCGTTTCTCTGCGAAGAAATGAAAGCAAGAAGAAGGATACCAATTGATAACAAGAAGTAAAGCCTCACATTATCCAAACTCTGCACTGCAACAATGGCAAGAGACAAAGTGGAGTGATGCCTTCTCATGAAAGTGCCACCCAAACATAAACCCACAAGTATATGCATAGGCAACACATCTTGTAATCAACGATGGCAGTGGATGGCTCCAAGCTTCAATGAGACAAGGAGATAAGGCAATCAGAACCAGGATAAAGGTTGTCAAAGGGATGACCTACCATTTCATCAATTCACAAAAATTAGGACCCAAAAACATTAAGAATATGAAGAAATAAAAAACTGTTTCTGTCAAGTAAAATAACCTAGTTCTGAGTATGATAAATAAAATATATCATCTTATCAATCCAGAGCACTCAACATACTAACACGGGGTGAAGAGCTTTCTTCCTCCAAATCCTCACCAATCCTTAACAATAATGCCTCAACAAGTAAACAAAAAAACAGGTGCCACGACCGCAAACAAATGCTTGAAGCACAACAACACAGAAAAAGCAAGCCCACAAATCAAGTCCCTCGCTTCCTCCAAACACAAAAGCGAAATCAACAAAATCCCAAGCAAAAACCTATTGTCCTGGAAATGCAAATGGTCCACAATCACACAAAGACTAGTAAAACTAGCCAGTGAGATCAGAGTTGAGGGCACTATGCACATCAACCCCAACCTGGGCTTCAGATTTCTCTAAGTCAGTCGACACTGAGTTGAGCTTCTGGGTGAACTCTGCAAGCCCCTTCTGGACAAGACTTGCATCGACACGATCAAGAGGGACAGCCTCTACAGCAATCATGTCTGCATCGACATAACAAGTAACAATTTAACTGCCAACGGGACCGTGACATTTTTTTTTTTTTTGGCATGCAACCATGCTCTAACCCACTCAGCTATGTTGCTCAAGTCTGATTTCCATACCCATTTACCAATCAAAAGGACTAAAAGGAGTCACAGAGCTTGATGAAGGAGAGGAAATGGAATTAATATCGAATTAGCTCCAAACCCATCCAAACCTACTCAAAACAGCAGAATACCCAATTCAAACTAGAGCCAACAAGTTCGACTTGAAAACCACAATTAGCACCAAACCCAGATGAACCCGCATTAAATCATACAAAATCCATATCACATAAATCTCAAATCAAACCTCAGACCAAAAAATTGCAGAAAACCCACAACAAATCTCTCGAAAACTGACCTCTTTGGCCGAAAGTTCGGACGCATAAGGGAGCACAAAGTTGACAGGGAGCTTAGTGGGGATCGACGACGGGGTTGCAGGCCGAGGCTTTCATGAAGGTCAATAGGGTCTTGGGGGGTTCTATGTGAGGCACCGCCTTCTTCCAGGCGTCGCTAAAAGTAGAACCAGCTGGGGCAGTCGCAGCGACGTCGGTGGAAAAGGGACTGGCGCTGAGGGGGATAGCTGATCGGGTCAGAAGGTGGTGGCTTGGCGCAGCATGGTGGCGGAGTGAGGTGTCGCTCGGGTCTCGCAGGGTCGCAGGGTCGCAGAGAGAGAGTGGCGGAGGAAGGGGTCTCGCAAGGTCAGAGAGACAGATGGTGGAGTTTGGGGAGAGGGTTTTTTGTTTCGGAAATGGCTTCGGACTTTTTGGGTTGTGGAAATGGAGGAGGAAATGGGTATGCGTTTTGTTGAGGCCGTTGTGGCCCTTGTGGGCTTTAGTCAGTTTGGGCCCGTTAAACGCATTTCCAATAAGGTTTATTATATTAACATCCCACAAATTGTTAAATAAACCCTACATACTTAATACACCCCACATTTATTTTTTCACTTAAAAATTATCTTAATACACACCACATACTTTCTCATAATACCCCCACACCCCATATTCTCAATGTACACTTTATATGTTATACATACACCCCACATTTCTCAAATCTTATAACACTCATTTTTAATTTTCTATACACCCCACTTCCTCCAAGCTTTTAGGTTTCTTTTCACTTCCATATCACCTAACAATTACGCTTTGAACTCGTTATTTGAGGCAGAGCGGGTTACCTACTTTGTAATAGTATATGACTTTAGCACTAATATGATTCATGTTATTGGGTACGCAAGATTAATTTGAACCCTAAAAGATGAATATGAATATAGAAGTTTAAATAACGTAACAAACGCAAGATAAATAATTATCGATGTCATCAAAATCACTAAAACAATGAAAAATATGAAATCTTACCTCATATGAAGCTTCCGAAACATCGAGTTCGTGTTCTATTCGCCAAAAACAATTTTTCTCAATCAACATGTTCGTAGTTTCATTGGTTAGGGTTTTGTTCAACAATGGAGAATGAGAGGGTTTTGATAGTTGAGAAGATAAATAATATGCTAAAAGAGATTTGGGGTGTATTTAGAAATTTTTTTTTTAAAAAAAAGCCTAATAAGGTCAAAATTGTTATTGCATAGTGAGGTAAATATGTCATTTAATATTAAATTTTAATGTGGGATAAATTCAACACTTTGTGGGGTGCTAATATAAAAAGCCTTCCAATAATAACAATGTTTGGCTCTTCATTACTCCCGATTTGTGTTTATAAACATAATTGTTCATATCATATATACTCTTTAATGGTATGTATACAAAAGGTCAATTAAAACTAAGATTTTTTAGTGATTTGCTTAATTTCTCTTTGTTTTATACTTGGAACTGGGAAGCTGTAAGCCTTGGTGATCTGTAATCTATGCAAAAACAGTTGTCCATAGTCGATGCCACAATAGTGCTAATAACATGTGCAATGAAATGCAAGAATAGGTTTACGATAATTGTTTTGTAATCTATGCAAAAAATCATGAGTGTATGAGTAGGAAACGAAGGATCAATAGCACAAATGAAATAATATTTTGTTTCAAAGGAATTCTAAATAGAACCACATTTGAATGATTTTTTATTTGTTTTTTGGCATAACGAACTCCCAATCATATAATTGTAGAGTACCAAATCAAATTGGATATTTTAATGATTTTTTTTGGGGCTCCGGTGTTGTCTGCAAAAGGTTTGTTCTTTCCTTCCATCAATTACAAATGCTTTCAAAAACACTCAATTCAAACACTTAAATATTAATTATCCACTCAGTTTCAATGATCTTGAGTCAAAAGACTCCCTAACATTGAAATTTTGAAAATGTATTGATACGTTTTTATAAAAGTTTGGTAGATACCCACCCTTAAGTAACAAAACTTAATGAGAAAATCATAACAGAAAAGTTACAGAGCTGATGGCCAAACACAAATGCAAATAAAAAGCTTGTAAAAAAACTCCCAAGCGAGTAGCGATTTTAGGACTGTTATTTCAATATGCACACATAACAATTTTACTTGAGCTACTTAATACTACGGTCTAATGATATTCCTCTTCACTTGTAAGTGAGAGGTCTTAGGTTCAATTCTCGTCAAATCCGAGTTTGAACCACATTATTACTAGCCCATTGAGAGGCTACCCCCTCCTCCTTAGGATAAATAATTGTTGGATTTGGCATTAAATCCAACATCTAATTCAATCTCATCCTGCCTACCCTCAACTGTCTAGCATGAAAGAATTGAGACATTTATATTTACCCAGAGGGTACAAAGGGAGGTTGAACTTGGCTGCTCTTGGGAATTTGCAGAGTTTAGTCAATGTTGCAGGTGCTGATTGTGATTTGAATCATCTTGCTGAATTGACCAATCTCAGAAAACTGTTCATAAGAGGTGGGGTGGAAAATATGGAGGAAATGTTGAAATCTACTGGCATCACATTTAACCATCTTCGATCTCTATCTGTGTACTCTCCTGGAGAAGTTATACCAATGAATATGGGATTGAGTTGTCCTCATACATACAAACTTCAATTGAGCGGGAAAATCAGAGAACAATCATTGGAAGGTCTCCAGGGCTATGAGGACCTCACTAAGATGTCGCTGTTCGATACTGGTCTACAGTTGGAGAGTCTCAAAATACTTGAGAATATCCCAAACTTAAGAATGCTTTGGTTGCGTACTGGTAGTTTGGAGAATGTTTCAGAAATAGTTGTCCCAACAGAAGGTTATCCTAATCTTGAATTTCTCTCACTTGAATATTTGAGGGAATTAAAGAGTTGGAGCATAGAGAAAGGAGGTATGGGTAGCCTCCGCAGATTTGTCTATTGAGTGGTGCGGGGGATAGAGGGCAGTTCCTGAGGGGCTTGAGAATGTTCAAAACCCTCAAGGAAAGATTGTCTATTGAGTGGTGCTGGGGATTGAGGGCAGTTCCTGAGGGGCTTGAGAATGTTAAAACCCTCAAGGAATTAACAATCACAAACATGCCACGGGAATTCTGTAATAGGGTTGGGAAAGGAGGAGATGATTTCTACAAAATACTGAGTCTCAGTGATCTTTAGTCAAAGACTCCCTAACATTTAAGTTTTGAAGATGTATTGAAACCTTTTTATAAAAGTTTGGCAGCTATCCTGAAGCTGATAACCCCCACTCAAACAAATCTCCCCTCATTTCTCTGCGAAGAAATTAAATCAAGAAGAAGCATACCAATTGATAACAAGAAGTAATGCCTCGCATTATCCAAACTCTGCAATGCCACAATGGCAACGGGGATGACAAAGTGGAGTGGTGCCTTCTCATGTGCATGCCACCGAAACATAAACCCTCAAGTGTATGTTAGAAATTTTGCGTAGAATTTCATTGTCCCACGTTGCTCACCACCACAAGCAGATAAGGCAATCAGAACATTTAAGAATATGAAGAAATAATAAACATTTAAGAATATGAAGAAATAAAAAACTATATCTCTCAAGTAAAATAACCTAGTTCTGAATACGATAAATAGAATATATCATCTCATCAATCAAGAGCACTCAACATACTAACAGGGGGTGAAGAGCTTTCTTCCTTCCGCTTGGCCATACGCTGAAGCTAAACAACTGAATTGGGCATTGGGAAGTCTTTAGTTACTAAATTGCTTTGCTAGTTCTAGAGCATAAGGTTTACAGAGAGCTGACTATAAGAACCAGAACAGCCTAAACCTACCATCTATTCAAAATTACATGATGTCAGTACAGTCAACAAGCAGCACCATCCAACCGAGGAGTTTTGTTTGCCCATTTGATTTGATAAACTGAAATGTTATCCTATTAAATTGCACCTCCTTCCAGTTGACCGTTGAGAATTACCTGAGGTAGTACAGCATAAGGGGATGAATCCCCAACTAGCCCACCAGTGAATGACGCTGCTGGTGCCTGAATGTTGAATCTAGTCTTCCAAGAACGAAAGCAAGCACTTTATCTAGTATGATATAGAACAGCAAAAAATTTGGTGCCCGCCCAATATGCATGGCGAAGTCCCCTGCCAAGATGAAACATACGACAGATAACTTGATTCATCTGCAAGGTAATGTTGAACAATCAATGTCCTACAATAAGATATGATGGCATACGATATTGAGGCACAAGACAAATTAAATGACTTGTCCTCGATGAGTGCAAATTGTTATTAAATGATCAGAGAGCAACATTAATGGATAACCATCTTGGCGTAGTTAATTCCCTTGCTTCATTTTATAAATGAGTACCAGTAGATTGGTGGAATATCTATGTTCCTACATTTTCATTTCATCGACATTAAGGTTTTGGGGATTTGTGGCAGGAGTTTCAATTTTCATCCCTCTCCTCCCTAACTATGTTCAATCCTTACTGTAGATAAAGGGCCGTACAACAGAAAGCATCCTAAATCATCACCAGGAAACGTCAAGAAATGGAAATACATATAAAAATAATATTAGCTCCGAATACTGTGGAAACAGATACTTAAAAGAGAAAAATTTATTTTATTTTTATACGTCCACTTATAATTCTAAGCTGCTTATCTACAATAAATAAAAGGATAATCATAATTATTCTGTCATACCAAGTGAAAAAAATAAAAAATAGCTAAAGCAAAATAGCTTTTCAATCATTAAAGATAGCTTCAAAAGAATTATACCAAAACTCTGAAGATCCGGCACCAAAGGGATACCAAAATCAAACCATATACCACAAGTGATCCACTTCCCCGCCCCTTTCTCCCTAAAAATTCCTCCAATTACTCTCCGTCTATACCACCCAAAAAACGTGGTAAAATGTAAAGTTCTTAATGCAAAATGATAGACACAAGAAAGGGCAGAGCTAGGATTTTTCAGAGGGTTGGGCTAATATTATTTGAGAAAAAAAAGGGAAAAAAAAAGTATAACCGAAGATGACCAATTATATGATGAAAAAACCACCAATTATGGCTTGAAAAGGGGAGACTGTAGAAGAAAAATGGAATGATAATCAGTTTTATAGGCTTACTTGCACCTATAATTAGTTTAATGAGTTTTGATTGGACTTATTAAACTAATAAAACCTGGGATAAATTTATTTAAATCTGATTTTCATAGCCTAAAAATGGAAAAAAACTCTGTCAAAAACTGATTGGGCAAGAACTGTCCCGTGCTACAGCCCAGGGAAGCCACAATCTCCTTCTCTCTCTCTCTCTCTCTCATCTGATTTTCATAGCCTAAAAATGGAAAAACCTCTGTCAAAAACTGATTGGGCAAGAACTGTCCCGTGCTACAGCCAGTGGCGAAGCCAGGAATTCTTGAGAGGAGGGGCGAAATTTAAAAAATTTAGGGTCCCGAAAAATGTGAACATTTATTCGAGGTTTAAGTCTAGGATTTGCAAGAAGATTATTTGAACTACCCGTAGAAGAATTTGCACTAACCGAAATATTCAAAAGAAGATTTGGACTACTCAAAATAGTCGAAGGAGGGTTTGAACAACAATATTATTTGAAGGATGATTTAGCACCGTTTCTCTTTGTATCGTCCTATTACTTAACTGTATAATTAGCAAAGTTTTAAAAGATGCTAAGCTCTAATCGGGCAATGGACATGACTTTACATTAAGGCGAGGGCCTAGGCAAATTTGAATAAATTTATTATATACCGTATAAATAATTGTCTATTTATTATATAGCTTATAATATCCAAAAAATATTTATTATAAAACATATAATATATAAAAATATTGACAAATTTTCTTTATTACTTTGTTGAATTTGATGGTAAGAGAAAGAAAAAAAATAATGACGAGTTCGTAATATTTTACAAATTATTTTTTGAAGCTCGTATAAATTTATAATGAATTTTAAGATGAATAATAGTGTCAAACAAATGGCTTAAAAAATATTGAAAGAGTGGTCAAATTAATTTAACAATAATTAAAAAATAAATCAAAGCAGGTTGGTGGTGCCAATTGATTGGCCAATATTTAAAAAAAAAAAAACAAATTGTAATTAAGAAAGGTCACGTGGGGTGGGGTGAGATGGGAGAGAGAAAGTCTCTCTCTTCTTCCTTTCCCTTCTTCTTCGTTCGAACCAGTGTTCCAGAACTAAATTTCTAGTTTCCAGAAGCTGCAAAATGCAGATCTTCGTTTCTCCTTTCTTTGGCTTAGGTTTTTCGAAAATAAGAGAGCACGCAATCAGCCTATGCTGGGATAGAGCAGGGACATCCAAAAGGTCGAAAACCAGACGGAAATTTATCGCTTTCGACGTGACCGGAGGGGCGGAACCACCGCTCCTGGGCTTGATTTCCGGCGAGGGGAGGGGCGGCTGCCACTCCTCGTCCTCACGTAGCTTCGCCACTGGCTACAGCCCAGGGAAGCCACACTCTCACTCTCTCTCTCTCTCTTTCGAACACTAATCCTCTATTCAGTTTCATGTTCATAAGGATCTAACTAAACCATTCAAACCAACTTTGAGTGTGAGCTCAGATCCTGTAACGACGTTTCAGTTTGTCTACCTAATCCAATCCTCATCAATGGAGCTAACTTCTAGGCCATACAGTGATGGCTCATTACATCCTGCACCATTCTTGCATGGTTTATAACTTTATGAAAGCCATGGGTACCAACATTCAATCCATAAGGTTCTACCCTGCCAAACCTAATGCATCTGCAGCTGCTTCAGTTAAGTAATTATTTCAAGCTGCTCTACTTTGAGATTTCATCTGCTTTTCTAACAGCAGAAAGAATCCCTATTTGCTCAATATTCTGTCAATGGAATCTGTCTTTCCTTCTGTTCATGGCTCAGACAACGGGACAGAGGTTCAGGGCCGAAGGGGTAGAGGAAGACCTAGGAAAACTTTGGAAGAGACTCTAAGAAAGGGCTTAGAGTACTTGGATCTAACGGAGGACATGACACAAAACCGAGCGCAATGGCGTTCTAGGATTCATATAGCCGACCCCACTTAGTGGTAAAAGGCTTTGTTGTTGTTGTTGTTGTTGTATGCGTTCGAGAAGTGACTTTTCTCAGTTGCAAATCATTAGTGATCTTGCTAAGAAAATGGTGGAAAAAAGGTTACATCGAGTATTTCAATATGTGTATTTACTTATTGAATTGGCTTTGGTTTTACCTGTTGCAACTGCTTCAGTGGAGAGAGCATTTTATGCCATGAATATCATTAAGAGTCCACTCTGCAACATAATGAGGGATCAATGGTTAAATGATAGCTTAGTTGTTTATATTGAGAAAGATGTTTTTTCTTGTATTGACAATGAAACTATCATGACACGTTTTCAAAGTATGAGATCCCGTCGTGGACAAATTTAATATTTCTAGCTTGTTTAGCACAAAGATTATGAATGAAATTTGTAGTTTGCCATTTATTTGTTCAATGATATTTTCGTCTTGTTTTTTTTTTTGGAACTTTTATATTGGGACCACCCTAAGTTAAAATCCTGGATCCGCCACTGATGGCAACATTTCGAAATCTGTAGCAAACTTAGAAATTCTTACCTCATGTAAATTGTAATACTTTTCTCCAAAATGTCCGGAGGCAAAAACGGAATCAAATTTGGTGAAGCAAATAAAAAAAAAATTATGATTGAAATTTGATTTGGGGGTTTGAGTGAAAGAGATGACATTATCTTTTAAGGCTTAGTAAATCAAATACCCCATAAAACTGTCATTTAGCATCAATTTTTTTTTATTTTTGAAATTGATTTGTCTTATTTTACTTTCTGAAATTGACATTTTAAACTCTTTTAACAAAATGAAGTGAAGTGAGACAAAAAAAAAAGTTAAATGTCAATTTCAAGCAGTAAAGTGAGACAAATCAAATTCAGAAACCCCTACCTCAGATTGTAATTTGTAATGTTTTTCTCCAGAAATCCGTAAGTGAAAACGGAATTGAATTTGGTGCGGTACATAAAAAAATTATGATAGAAATTTTATTTGAATGTTTGAGTGAAAGAGATCGCATAATCTTGAATGTTTCTCCAGACTTTGCTTTAGACAACGAAGAAAAACAATCAAAATCTTATGATTTAGATCAGGTGCACCGCACCGCTTCAACTGCATTAACTATTCGATCGAATGGCAGCCTGCCATTTCACTCTTCCTTTTGTTCTCTTTTTTTCAGTCCATACAATTACATCAGCACCACTCCTGGTCACTCCAGCAGCTGTCACGTGGCAAGTCAGCCACACCTTAGCTGTCACGTGAGGTTCCAATATTTCATTAAAAATTCATTCGAGCACCGCGAGTACCAAAAAATAGTTCAAAAGATGCTATGAACTTATAATCCTTGACGCTTGACCTCACGGAACATTATTTAATTTTGGTTTTCTCCTCGTCTTCTTCCTTGTTATCAACCAAAACTCTAATAACTTTAGTTAACTATTTGATAGAGATTACTGCATTTCATGTAACTATTTTGGAACGAAGAAATTCATTTTCTTGAGAAATCAGAGGCTGAGATTTATGTTCTACTGTAAAAAAAAAAAAAAAAAATCCAACATATACAGAATATCTTCAGAATGACCAAGTCTAGGACATAATAATTAACCCATTTTTTAATTTTTTTCAGACTCTGAAATTGATGCTAAGAAGGAAGAACTAGGAAAGAAGATGCCTCAACATTGTGCAGGTCTGCCATTAGCCATTATTGTGCTTGCGAGTGATTAGTCTAGGACATAATATTTAACCTATTTTTCTTAATTTTTTTCAGACTCTAAAATTGATCCTGAGAAGGAAAAACTAGGAAAGGAGATGCTTAAACATTGTGCAGGTCTACCATTAGCCATTACTGTGCTTGCGGGACTTCTAGCTAGAAAAGTCACAGTTGAGGAGTGGAAAAAAGTACACGAGAATGTTGATGTATATATACGGAGAGGAACTAATCTTGACCAAGAATATAAAGGCGATCAAGAATATGCAGGTGCATTAAGGGTGTTAGCATTGAGTTATGACGAGTTATCATATCGTTTAAAACTATGTTTTCTATATTTAGGCCATTTTCCAGAGGATTATGAGATACCAGTCAAAAGATTGCGTCAGTTATGGATAGCAGAAGGTTTTATATCTTCAGCATCCCAAGGACATGGTTCAGCGGAAGTATTGGAAGATGTAGCATATACTTGCTTAAGTGAGTTGGTGCAAAGATGTATGGTTCAAGTTGGAACACTTGGTTCAACTAAGAAGATCAAAACATGTCATCTTCATGATCTTATGCGAGACTTGTGCTTGGTAAAGGCAGAAGAGGAGGACTTTCTTCACGTTGTAAATTTTACTAGCACGATAACCAAGGCAGCGACAATTCCTAAAGTTCGAAGACTTGGTGTATATGTGGAGGAAAAATGTGTTGAAAGCTTTGCTCCCACAAGAAATGACCACCTTAGGTCTTTGTTATTCTTTGTCGACCCAGAATATGGATTCTCCAACTGGAAGAAAAAATTCTTGCGGTCAGTAGTATGCAACTTCAAATTGCTCAGGGTTCTAAAGTTTGAAGGCATATGGAGAGAAGAAGTAGAGTTGCCGAGTACTATTGGGAATCTAGTCCACTTAAGGTTTTTGAGTCTAAGGAGAAGTAAGGTAAGTCGGTTGCCATCATCTTTAGGTAATTTGGTATGTTTGCAAACTCTAGACTTACGCTTGAGAAGGTCGGGGGTGAAAGTACCAAATGTGATTTGGAAGATGAAAGAATTGAGACATTTATATTTACCCGTTTCGGGGTACAGAGGGAAGTTGAAGTTGGCTACTCTTGGGAATTTGCAGAGTTTAGTCAATGTTGCAGGTGCTGATTGTGATTTGAATCATCTTGCTGAATTGACCAATCTCAGAAAACTGTTCATCATAACAGGTGGGGTGAAAAATATGGAGGAAATGTTGAAATCTACTGGCATCACATTTAACCATATTCGATCTCTATCTCTATCAGTGGGGGATGAAGTTATGCCAATGAATATGGTATTGAGTTGTCCTCATATATACAACCTTGAGTTGGCAGGGAGAATGAGAGATAAATCATTGGAAGGTCTCCAGTACTATCAAAACCTCACTAAGATGTCGCTGTGGGATACTAATCTACCGTTGGAGAGTCTCAAAATACTTGAGAAGATCCCAAACTTAAGAATGCTTTGGCTTCATTGTGTAAGTTTGGACGAGAATGATTCACAAGTAGTTGTCTCAGAAGAAGGTTATCCTAATCTTGAATTTCTTTCACTTTATGGGTTGAGGGGATTAAAGAGTTGGAGCATAGAGAAAGGAGGCATGCCTAGTCTCTGCAGATTGTCTATTGACAGTTGCTTGGAATTGAGGGCAGTTCCTGAGGGGCTTGAGCATGTTACCACCCTCAAGGAACTAACAATCAGACTTATGCTTCGGAGATTCTGTACAAGGGTTGGGGAAGGAGGAGAGGATTTCTACAAAATTCAACACGTGCCTTCTGTTATAATAACAGATATTCGGGAGGACAGAGAAGTGGATAACTAACTGGTAAGTATGCTGCTGCTGCTTACATTTTGTTTGCTATTTATCTGTGTTTCTCAGGGGTAAAATCATAATGTGTTTCTGTTATCTTTTCCGGTTGTTCCTTAGAGGAGAAAGTGAAGGGGAGTCAAGTGTGGCGAAGGTGGCGAATGCAGCTGGGAGGGGAAGGCCAATCTCGCAAAATTAGGTGAAGATTATGTTGTTAATAATGGAAGGCAGTTAGCGTATCCATGTCATATGATTTGATTTTTCTCTTAATTTCTTGGAAAACTTTAAGCCACTTTCTATTGGAAAACTGTAATCTATGCAAAAACATTAAGAATATGAAGAAATAAAATCCTGTTTCCATCAATCATATGCTCAAGCTAAACAATTGAATTAGGCGTTGGAAAGTCTTTAATTAGATAATTGCTTTGCTAGTTCTAGAGCGTAAGGTTTACAAAAAGCAAGCACTTTAATTATGATAATAGAACACTTTTTGATCTAGAGTAAGTCTAAAGAAAGCGAAAATTTAATTGGGTAAGAAGACAAATGCAACACAACCAATATTAGGTAGATGGCAAGGTCCCCCTGCCAAAAGGAAACATGCGATGGATCCCTAATTGCAACATGCTGGGTAATGTTGAACAATCAATGCATGAACACATGAAAAGAAAAATATGATGGCATAAGCTATTGGGGCACAAGAAAAATTAAATGACTTGTCCAAGATGCGTGCACATGGTTATTAAATGATCAGGGAGCAACATTAATTTCCTCGCATAACAGTAGACTGGGTGTAATATCTATATTCCTACATTTTCATTTCATCAACGTTTTTAAGGTTTGAAGGTTTGTGGCACAAGTTTCAATATCCATCCTCTCCTCCCTCACTATGTTTAATGCTTATTGTAGAGAAAGTGCCATACAACCAAAAATAGGAAACTTGAGGCCTTCCAACCTATAGAAAGCATCCTAAATCACTACCAAGAAACGTCAAGAAATGGATATACATATAAAGATGTTGTGATCTATATTATCTCCGAATGGGGTAGCATCAATATTGTGGAAACAGATACTTTAATACTAAAATTCTATCATACCAAGTGAAAAAAAAAAAGAAAAAAAAAGAAGCCTTTCAATCATTAAAAATAGCTTCAAAAGAACTATACCAAAAAAAGGGGGAAAAACTATAAACGAAGACGACCAATTATTTGATTAAAAAAACCACCAATTATGACTTCAAAAGGGGAGACCATAGGAGAAAAATGAAATGTTAATCAGTTTAATAGGCTTACTTGCACCTATAATGAGTTTAATGAGTTTTGATTGGACTTAAGGATCTAACTTCTCTAATGAGGTTTCAGTTTGTCTACCTAATCCAAACCTCTAACTTCTAAGCCACACAGAGATGGCTCATTACATCCTTCACCATTCTTGCATGGTTTATAATTATATGAGAACCACGGCTACGAACTTTCAATTTATAAGGTTCTACCTGCCAACCCTAATGCAGATGCTTCAGTCTCTTTGTGATTTTATCTACTTTTCTAACGGCAGAAAGAATCCCAATTTGCTCGGTATTCTGTCAATGAAATCTGTCTTCCCTTCTGTTCATGGCTCAGACAACGAATGATAGTTCCGTCTTTCGTCACACAATAAAAAAAGATGGCACAACTAGAAGTCTCTTACTAATTCTTTGCAAAAACATGACATTAATGCAATATCATCTTCGTATTTCTGTTTCGGAATCTGTGGATATATAATCAAATACAAACAAACTTCAGATCCTTGCCTTTACATCTTTGGATTACTGGCCACACAATCAACAGATAATGTTAATGCTAAAATTATCAAGTTTCAGTCTCAACAAAGTCATGATGTTTGGCAACTGAATGGTGGCCTTCACCCACTAAAAAAAGTCGACTGTTACATTATCGAGTTCTGTCAAAGCAAGGGGCATCTGTTGCTCATCAATCTTCAACATACACTAGTTTTTTTGTCTGGCAAAACAGTAGTTTTGGTACTAAGAAAAGGCAGCAAGCACATTTTTTAAAATATGGTTTTGAAAGATAACAGAAGATGGAAAACAGTAGCTTTGGGTCGTAACATTGAATGAAGGAAAAAAACTAATTTTGTCTGAGATTAAAATTAGTCAGGCAACTAATCTTTGTGTTTAGTTCCACATTCTTTTAATCTGTCAGAAGCAAGTTAGCTAAAAGATTCAGTCCCCTTTATCAATGTCAGAAACGCAGTGAAAAAAAGAATAGTAAAGAAGGTTTTCAATGATTGTCTGAGGCCAACACTAAATATGCAAGGCTACTATGAAACTGAGGATAACACATTAAAAAAAGGAAGAGCACGTTGATCTCAAAATGCACCACCAATAACTTTTCTTACTTATGAAAAAGAAAGATTCATTTCGCTTTACCGGGATAAATCCAAAGTTCGCTCCAAATGGGACAAATAAAACTAAGACATGTATAATATTTCAAGTTGTACTTACCTTGCTTATGCACATGAGCAATGCATTACACAAATCATATATGTAGAAAACTAACAGTTCAACTGCCAACAGGACCATGACATGTTTTTTTGGCATGCAACCATGCTCTAACTCACTCAGCTATGTTACTCATGTCTGATTTCCATACCCATTTGCCAATCAAAAGACTAAAAGGAGTCACAAAGCTTGATAAAGGAGAGGAAATGGACTTAACACTACACTTTTGCATCACAAGTTGGAATTTTAGTTTTCATTACAAGCGGTATTTGTTTCTCATTGGATTGAGAACTCCACAAACTTTTTAAAAGGAACTTAATTCCACATCTGTTCACATGTGAATTTGAATTATATACTTTAAAACAGTATAGCATATGACTCATAAGAAAGAAAAATGTGACACACATAAAGCATCCTTACATACACTAAACTGAGATGAAGTTCAGCCTACAGCAACAACAGATGAAAACTAGGTGTATATTGCACCACTATAATCAGTTGCAAAAGTTAGCATGAAATAAAATAAGGAAATGGGATATGAGTACTGTAAATGTTTGAAAAATATGAAATCCAAGCAATAAGTGCAGGACTAAATCTTCCATGGGCCACGCAAATCAAACACTATGGATTCAAAGTTACATTTTTTTTTTCCAACACTGTCAATAGAAAAAGTAACAAATAGAGATCAAACTGAAAACATGGTACCGTTGATTGAACATGCTATAATGCATCCATTCAAAATCCAAAACAGTGAAATGCTTAAAATCAATCTAGCAAATACAATTTATGTAACAAGAATAATCACCATGACTTAGATGGAAGTTTGACATTCAAACAAAATACTGAAACAAGAACCAAAAAGTTAACTCTTATTCTTAAAATTGGACTTTTACAAAGAAACGCAAAACACAGAGTCCTATACAAGAAACAGCACAAAAATATTAATGCGGCAGCATCTTTTGTAAGTAACATTGCATCTCTGTGAAGATATGAAGACCTATTAAATGAAATGATTACATCCTATAATATATTATATATCGTAGAACTTATACATCATAATTGCTCCAATCAAGAATTCAAAACTAGCTCCAGCCCCAGTAAATTAACAATTGAAAACCAAAAACCATATAGGGTCACAGAAAAATCAAAGCGTGAATCGAATTAGCTCCAAACCAATACAAACCTACTCAAAACAACAGTATACCCAATTCAAACTAGGGACAACAAAATCGACCTGAAAACCAGAATTTGCACCAAACCCAGATAAACCGACACTAAAGCATACAAGTCCCGTATCACATAAATCTCAAATCAAACCACAGATAAAAAAATTGCAAAAAAAAACCCACAACAAATCTCTCCGAAAACTGACCTCTTTAGCCAAAAGTTCGGCCGCATAAGGGAGCACAAAGTTGACAGTGAGCTTAGTGGGGATCGACGACGGGGTTGCAGGCCGAGGCTTCATAAAGGTCAATGGGGTCATTGTGTGATCTATGTGAGGCACCACTTTCTTCCAGGCGTCACTGAAAGTCGAATCGGCTGGGGCAGTCGCAGCGACGTCGTTAGAGAAGCATCGGGCCCTGAGGAAGATGGTGGATCGGGTCAAGAGGGTGGTGGCTAGGCGCAGCACGGTGGCAGAATGAAGGGTCGCTCGGGTCTCGCAGGGTCGGGGAGACAGAGGAGGCTTTTCTTTTTTTGTTTTTTGGAAACTGAGGGAGAGGAGTTTGGGTAGAGGTTTTGGTTAGTGATTCGGAATGGAGGAGGAAATGGGTGTGGTTTTTGTTGAGGCTGTTGTGTACTTGGAACATCTTCATAGGAGATGTTAAATTTTGAATATAAAATTTAAATTTTGATAGCTTATGTGGTACATTAACATCTTTTAAAATTTTGTTCTTCAATCGATATGTTAATGAGTAATTTATTCATATTCTTTGATTGAAAAGAAGAAAAAAAGTAGGATAATTGCATCGATCAACTCAATATTAATTATAATAAATGATTAACCTAATTAAAAAATAAAAAAAATACATTTAATAATTAATAAAAAAAGACATTTGAAGTTGCTGTCAAATTTGATAGCAACCTTTTTGTTGCCAATTCATGTCATCACCACATGAGATTTGGCACTTCGGTTGGAGAATATTAGTGTGGTCTTTTTCCTGTTATAGCTGAGTGTACATTTTGGCATCTCTTTTGGAGATGCTCTTAGTCACTTTGAGGTAGACCTGACATTTGTGTCGTGTTTTATGTATTCCGAAGCAAAAGCCTAATGAAAAAACATTAGTACATTACTACAAAATAACAAATGTTCAAGGATATGCAAAATTGAAGGGAGTTGCATTCAAGGTTGAGGATGCA